CCCCCCCCCGCATCTCCCCAGTAATCCATGCCAGTGGTAACTTATTTTCTTTCGACCAACCCCCAATTTTACAGTGCTTCCACTACCTTGTGCAATGTTTTAAAAGTAATTCAGATGGGGTAGGAGAAGTTCTTCTATAGGAAGGAAGTTGGGAAGGGAGTGGTTAGTACCTTGTATTAATGCTGATCTACCTGTAGAATTGAAGTGAGGCTGGCTCTGCTGAAATTTACTGATTTTATTTGATTTTCTACACAAATGTTTTCAAACTGCATCATGTGCACATGCTCAGCAGTACATTTTAACAATTAAATAACATTGCTCAACAGGTGACACTGAGCCTTTGAGCATGAAGAATGGTTATAAGCAGTGGAAATTATAGATTACCGATTATTCATGCAACTATCTACCCGATACCAATTTTATAATGATGTCATAATGTCAGTGGTAAAGGTGACATCATTAATTTCAATTTTTTAATGATGATTTCCAATGTAACATGTTACTGCAACCAAAGTTTGTTAAAACCGTTCATAAATGGGCCTAGGGGGGCACCAGAACCAATTTTTTAAGTTCCAGCCGAAACTGGATCTGGCTGGAACTGGAAAAAAGTTCCGGCCGGAACCGATTCATAAAGCAATATATGGTCACATGTTACTTTGTCTGCTACCAGACAGTCAGACACTTCCAGTCATCAAGGAGAGAGCATGCAAGTGTTTATTAAATAATAGTGTACATTTTTCTTGTGTAGTCCAAATTTCTTCCTTGCTATTCAATAAATAAACTTGATATTCTATCTCTCTGAAAACAACAAAGTTCTAGTACCGGTCATGTTTTTTTATTAGTTCCGGCTGGAACCGGAACTCTGAAAAATCGGGTTGGAATCGAGTTCCAGTGCACCCATATAAATGGCAAGCTTCACATACTAAATTATGTTGTGGCAAGGGTTTGCTCTACAACATACTATGGTTCACGCAAGAGATATAACATTTGATTTTCAATTTTTTCGATAAAAAGGCGGATTCAGGTTGAGCATTTGTACATTCAACACGTCTCAACACGTCTCAACACGCAATGCATATATATTTTTTAAAGTGCATATTTTCACAACAATCAGTTTTACACAATCGGAAACTGAATACAGATAATTCTACTGATTTCGATTGTCTACTGATAGGCAAACATCGACCTGAGTCCTGATACCGATGCCATTATTATCGGTCTCGATCAATCACTAGTTATAAGAGTCAAAATATGGTACAGACATGAGTTACAGATATGCACCATTCACAATTTTTGCAATTGTTAACAATGTGATTCTTGCAATTGTATCTGCCACTCATGCCACTTTTGCAATTTATTGGAAATGTCATAGTAGTACCCTATGGCTATGTTGCAATTGTCACACGGTTTGACAGTAAATATTAACAGGCTAACAGCCATTCAATTTACAAACATTGTAATTTCTATCACACAATCATTTTGTACAAGTATTAGGTCTAAGCTCTCAAACTTGTTTTTAATTATATAACAAATATAAATTATTCTACAAGCTGATCAAAACGACGGGTTAAGGAGCTACTACAAACAGCCTGCATAATTTGAATTCGCTGCAACCCAAATACAAGAGTACCCGGCATATAATATCATATTAGAATCGCACGTGGGAGCAATATGCCAGTAGCGCAAGGCATAGACAATTGTAGCTTTTCCCAAACCAAAACCTTGTTTGTGTTTATCATTTCGGCGGCTACTTGCATGCAAATTTCGAACGCTATTCAAACTAATAAACTGCAGGTGGAAAAACCGCGCTAGAACGCGATCGTTTATAAGCAGGCGATTTTATGGCCTGCCCACAAGCCCAGCAGAGAAAAACAAAAAAACAAAAACAGTCACTTTTATCAAATTGTAGCAAGGTGCGCTGCACAACATGATTCGTGAGAATTCTAATTCGCATGTTACTGAAAAACCAGGAAAAATAGAAGGCAGTGCAGTATTCATGAAGCAATATTGGCATATGAAATAAAAGTCTAGCCCGTAATATGATCTTATAAATACGACCTTTATAAACGCTTTACAATCAGGAGGTTATCGCAAAAATCTAAATAGCTTTATATATACTCTACAGTATATCTGATCATATCTGATGGAAGAGCTTAATTCTCCTTACACTGTAACGTTTATAGAATATATACACATTAACACATAGAATTAGCATTCATATATTTTCACTTTTGTTGCCCCGCTAAATTATACATAAAAGCCAAAAATTATCTCCCTAATAAAATAGCGTGAAGAACGAACAGGGATTTAATTAGGGAAAATTTTCGCTGTAATTTTAAACAAGCTGCTTCGGGTCCGCAATTGTTCAAGTGAGAGAAAAAATGAACAAAATAATTTACTAATCCGGCTAAAAACAGACTGCTACCATGCGATTTTAAATGTAGCAAAGCAAGTATCAAAACAAAGCATCACTTTTCACGATTGTACTTGGCTTTGACGGCCGAAGACAATCACTCGAAACAGGCCATCGTAATTTGTGGTTTTTCTCAACAAGTCGAGGTGCTTCTAAGCACAAGAAAATTGTCCTCAAGCTACTTATTCCTGTTGTTTCTCAACTTAGGTATAGTTTAAAACTTCCACACAATATTGTTTATCAACAATATTCAATCAAGCAGACGTTTGAGCATTGTCGCGAGCCGTCAATTAAATCTCAACTGTTCGAAAGCCACAAGAAATTCAAAATTACACTTACCGGATGAGTTTACAAGTGCGAAGAGATAAACGCCGAGGATTCCCACGATTAATAAATGAAGCTGGTTGAATATTATCATCTTGGTTGGACGTCTATTATAGTTTGTAGAAGCACAACAGTCAGACTCCACTAGAGCAGTCCACAAGGTAATAAGTCATTTACCAAATCTCTAATATCCGTAATTATTGAACACGGAATGCTGGAATGAAATACCACAGTGTATATGAAAACAATGTTATGAAAAATACATTGTAATTTCCTTTCATATGTGATAAAATATCACAACAAAACACTGCTACAGTGCTCACGCCTCGCGATTCACCAAACGAATATACTGTAAATATTAAATATACACAATACTCGTTCGACACGTGATGAATGCTACAATGTTATTGGCTAAAACTTTTGGCACCAAATCAAACCACGGCTTGTGCGTGCCACCCTAGCTGATATTATGCTTTAATTTAATCCTCGAAAAGCCGGGATTTATCTCATTTTTTCTTAAATATCAAAGGCAAAACATGTCAAAAGGAGAAATTTCACTGAAATGTGAGAATGGAAACCGGATTATAAATACCCTAAAGAAACAGAGATTTTAAGATACTTAAGGATTACCTCCATATCGAAACAATAACTGGGAACGTGCCTATAGGGCATCTAAAACACTGAAGTGGTTGATAAAAGCTAAGCTTTATGTATTTATTTTGGAAGCTAAGTTCACTCGAATAAAATTTGCGCAGTTTGTGGTTATTTAACTGTCAAATACGCGATCGATTCTGATATTGGATAAGTTTTGCACTATAACGTACTTTACTTTAGTTAACCCAGTTATGGTAGCCTCCTCCGCAGGCGTCTCTAGGGAATCAGTCCATACTGGGATGGATGTGGAGGAGGCTAATGCTATTGTATTTAGATAAATGTGGCGTAATGGACGGTCATGGACCACTTGACGACACCGGCTGTATGACATGTCTACTATATGAGATATCTATGGTCTACTCCTGTAATATGTGGCAAAATAAAAGTAGCAAACCTGAAACACTATAAGTCCTATAAAACTACCGATATGGCACACAATTATAAAAAGAAACTTCAATTTCGGTACGTTAGAAGACTCTGAGGGTGTTGATGGGGTATATATCGTGAGTCGTGATTGCTCAACTTCGGTTACCGTCAGTCGTGAAAACACTACAAAATTTACCGTGAAGCGTGAGGGAAATAATACTGCAGTATCGTTACAGAACACTTTTCAGCAGATTCAAAGATTTACCGTTAAAACACCAAAATGTTTACAGTTAAATACCCCTGGTCTTACTTTGGTTGGCACTGTAATTTGAGTACTTGAGTAGTCAGACTAGAGACGGTCACGCAACCGAAGGCGGAAAACGCTTTTTCAAGCTTTCTAACGTACTACGGTATTACTAACATTTTTATTTGCCTTATTGGTAAACTTCCTGGCTTTTATCAACCAAAAATATAGTCAATATATCGCTAATAGAAGAGGTCCAACTGTGAACTCTATGGTCAGAATTCCCGGTGACGATGGATGTACCTCAATTCCCTAATCCGAGGTTCGTTTTTATAAGGGGCGGACCATTAGAAAAGTGTGGGGGGGGGGCAAAAATAAAAATCGCGCAGGGGCCGACAGAAAGAAAGAAAAAATTCGTGCACCAAAAACGTTTGAAAAACAAATTCGTACAAGTTAAAAAAGTCCCTTCCCCCCCCCTCCCCCATCGCTTTTCTAATGGTCCACCCCTATTAAAGTTTGCTACTAATTCCAGCTTTCTCAGTCGCTAATGCAGACGATCGACTTAATAATTTTCATATTTACAATTATTTTTAGTCTACAGGAGAATAGCCATAGATATCTTATATACACTAGATAGTGCACTATCTAATTATTCTGTAATTCAAAAATTGAAGCCGTGATTGCAAACTGTTCAGGATATTCCCATGCCCCCATGAAATGAGAAGATTCGTATGTTTTCTATTTCTTAAACAGGGAACTTAAACATATTAAGTTAAACCAATTCCAAATACATTTTCAAACTATTCGAATATGAAAGCTATTGTTGTTTTTTAAGCGTTTATTAGCGAGTGGGAGCAGGGCGTAGTAAAACACGGGCGGTGAAACGCACTAATATTTGCCTGATCCATGTGTGATGCACGGGAGACTGGCGCGAGCGTGCGAAATGCGCGGATCAAGCGGGATTTTTAAAGATGAAGCGAAGCAAAAACAAGAGACAAAAATATTTAAAGGGCAATCAAAAAGTGCAAATTTTTAAGGTAAATTTATCCTTAAAATGGAAAAAAATTAACTTGTTATAAAATAGAGACTCTGACAATTAATTAGTATTGCCGATTACATCGCTAAAGTTGGAAAAGCATTTTTAAAATGTGAAATTAGTTGAAGGCATAGCGATTTTATCATAAAATATATTTACATTTTTCAGGCAATGACAAATTGTAGTCGAGTTTTTTAGCCAGACCGAGTGGAAAAAAAGTTAACTTCAACCGTTTAAATTATCTATAATTAGTTATACTTTCGATCTGAAAAGGTTAGAAAATGGGCTTTTGTGGGCTTTTTTTTCAATTTAAAGATTTATGACCAGGTCACTTGCGTAATTTACAATGACACAACTTGTGACCTTGTTTTGATAAAGTTAGAAAACAATTGTCAATTTAGAAAGCATTGGAAACATTTTCATTAACATATTCAGGCATTCAAATGCAATATAAAAGTTAGGGAAAATATTCAATTATAAGGAACAAGCAGAAAATTCCGTTTTTACCATGTTAAAGGTTGTTTTATTTCTCTTTTCGAACTTACAATATGCAACTGAAATGTCCGCCAAAAGACTCCAAATTGCATGTTCACAGCGATGTCGCAGTTTTACAAGCGCGGAAAATTTT